TGAAAACTGTGACGAGAGCAATCTCGCCACATTGCATTGGAGAAGCCTGGTTGCTTGCCTGTTGCCTTTGGACTATGGCCCCATGGTAAAACTTGTATTTTCCCCTGCAGAAAGGCTTGTTCGTGCCTTTCTGCCAGGGTGTTCGGTAAATTCTATGTACCGAACAAACGCACGAATGACTGGACCACCTGGGAGCTGGAGTGTATTGGCGATTTACCTCCCAGAAGCTGCTGTTAACCGCAGCTTAATTGACAATTACTGGGTGGTCGCAGTTACACCTAGCCGCCACACGATGGCGGTGTTATGGAAGCCCCCCCGGGTAGTCAGCGCTTGTTCTACCAAGCGGCAGGACACCAAAAACGGACACTTTGTCTTCCAAGCACCGCTGAGGCTGGAAGTCTGCAAACCCGTTCGGGAACCGAACAGCGGAGCATTCGGGACTTTTAGTGTTGCAATGTATTCGGTGTAAAAGTACCCAGATAGCCTGCCATGGAGCCTGTTTGTGGAATTAAAGACTTTGGCTCCATGGCGATTAAACTGTATTCGTGTGGTCTGAGCGCCGTTCGCTTAATAATGTGCGCTCAGACCTGAACTATCTGGGGATATGTTAAATGTATATATTTATTGTAACCTTTCCACATGGGGGATTTTAACAGTAATTCCTATATTGGTATCCCCACGTGCATAATGGCGATTTGCCTTTGTCCTGGGAGAAAATTGAATTACTTCTCAATTATCTCCAGGGCAGAGGGGAGGAAGCCAGGATGCATTGTGGGAATATATTGTAACTGTATGTCCAAAATGTATACTTGTCTGTCCTACAGTCTCCCATTTGGTCCCCAAGGGAGTGTCCACCAGGTGGGAGACCTGCATAAATACTGGGCAGGTAGCCCTCATTAAACAGACCACTGCTTGACCCTCAACACGGAGCCTTGTCTCGTCTTTGGGGGGGATTTACTGTATGCTGATAGAGACTGATTGCTAGGAGTGTAAGCCGCTTGGAGGCTTTTCCTATTCGTCTGCTAGCAGCTATTCGTGAGGTTCCAGTTCGGGAGTTTGGAGTGCTATATTGTATGCAGTTCGGGAGTTTGGAGCATTCCCTTATATGCGGTTCGGGAGTTTGGTGTTCTGCAGTAGCTGTGCATCTGAAAAAGGGAATATCGCCTAACTGGTTTTAACCCCTGGTGTACAAAACGGTCCGTTACAATTGGTGGCAAGCGGCAGGATCGTTCCTACAGCCAGAAGGACAGCTACAGGAGACACCATTTCTTTGGATTTTACAATTTGAGGGCAACGCATGTCTGAGTACAGCGACCCTGACAGCATCAGGATGGAATTAGCAGTTGAGTACGATGAGGGTGTCATGGATGACAGAGATGCAGTTTGCAAAGGCATCTGGTACCAGGCACTGGGCATTGTGGAGTACCAGCGGGGCGAGAGACTCCCCAAGGAAGACCAGCGATTGCAGAAGCGACTAGCCCTGCGGATGCCCTTCCTGGGAGAGCAGCAACTGGATGAATGGGTGAAGGAATTGGATCTCCGGGTATGGCAGGAGATGTGGCTGGAAGATGCCTACCAGGCGCTCTGGTGGTATGGGGCACAGTATCTGCCCTGGACAGCCGAGCATGACAAGCCAGAGGGAGAGGAGTTTGATGGTCCTGGCTTGTTATGGGAGGCTTTTTCAGAGCCGGAGTTTGGGAGCCCTACACAAGCCCGGTTCAGTGATCTCTTGGAGTGGAGGGAGAGCAGGTATGACTGGGACGACACTCATGAGATCGAGCAAGACCTGGTCCACCTAGTGACCCAAGAGATGGAGCTGGAGCAGGGCTACTAAAATCTGTTCCACTCCAGTGAGAAGGCTCAGCAGGGAAGCGGAGACCCAGATCCAGACCCATTCAGCTGGGCAGATATTGCAGAATGTTACTGGGAAGAACCCCAGGTGGCTGGTGGAGATGGGAGCGAGGTCTCTCCACCGGTCCTGCAGGGAATTGGGAGCCCAGTCTCCATTCCCCAGCGGGAGATACAGCAGGGAATTAGGAACCCAGTCTCCATTCCCCAGCGGCAGAGTATCCAGCAGGGAATAGAGAGCCCAGTCTCCTTTCCCCAGCAGCAGGACTCTGTATTGGGAGCAGAGACACGATGGCGGTGTTATGGAAGCCCCCCCGGGTAGTCAGCGCTTGTTCTACCAAGAGGCAGGACACCAAAAGCGGACACTTTGTCTTCCAAGCCCGGCTGAGGCTGGAAGTCTGCAAACCCGTTCGGGAACCGAACAGCGGAGCATTCGGGACTTTTAGTGTTGCAATGTATTTGGTGTAAAAGTACCCAGATAGCCTGCCATGGAGTCTGTTCGTGGAAATAAAGACTTTGGCCACATGGCGATTAAACTGTATTCGTGTGGTCATCTCCAACAGTGTGCTGGGGTTTGAGGAAAGAGATGTTGTGAGGGTGTGTAGTGCCACCTGGATATCCTTTTATAATTGCTCTCCTGTGTGGAATTGCTAATTGAAGTGCAGAAAATGTTAGAGAAAATGTGTGTATATTCGCTATTTGAGAATGAGAGGTGGAGTTCCTCTGCACAAGCTTCTAGAAATCTAGGGTGAGAACGGGAGGTGTCTTTTTGGATTATTTTATAGAATATGGACAAGTGCTTGGTTTTGAGGCTACGATTCTAACAGGTGTACTCAAAAGTCGTCAAGTCCCTGTCACCTTTCCAGAGACCTGTTCGAGAGTTGTGAAAGTGTGATATTTGTGAAAATCGAAAGTGAGCACAGGACAGGGCTGGGACTGAGAAATAAGCTCAGATAGTTGCCTGACCCCTGTCATAGTAACCATCCTGCCTGGTGTGAGATAAGAGGAGTTGTACAGGGTTCTGAAAGAGGCTATCAACATGCCCAGACAAAACTGGGTACTTTCCACAGTTGCTGCCAGCTTTTTAGGGTGGGGGTGATGTTGGGTTCAACAGGTATGTGGGTTTGAGGAAGGATTTACCCTTTTTATGCCATGGAACAGTGTATAGAGGCATTTAGAATCATTGACTTTGAAGTAGTACCCAGTGGATTTGGGGTTGTGGTGATGCCCATTCTTATATTCTAGTAAGGGTAACCGCCTTATGGTACGCTTTTAGATCGGGTAAGCCAATCCCACCTAGCAATTTTGGGCACATTAGAGATTTAAGTGGAGTTCTAGGGTGTTTCTGGTACCATATAAATGTGGTAAACATTTGTTTAATGGTAGTAAAGAACGCGTTGGGTATTGCTAAGGGTTTAGCCAGGAAAAGTACAAAATTTTTGGCAAGGTGTTAATTTTCAAGATATTGATCTGGCATAGCCAGCCAAACATTGGCCTATTCCAGTGGGTAAGGTCAGCTTTGAGTGTCTGTAGTATGGATGGGAAATTTAGGTTTTATAATTTGTTTAGATCATGTGGGAGCTGGACCCCAAGATATTTGACCACCATCTCTGCCCAAGCAAATGGGTATTTCTGTTGTGTTAATAATTAGAGTTGAGTGAACCCAAACTGAAAAGTTTGGGTTCATACCTAACATTACAGTTTTTGGACCACGGACCCGAACATGGACATTTCAGTGTATGTTCGTGTTCGAGTTCGGTGTTCGGCGATTTAATGGCGTGTTTTGAAAGGCTGCAGGGCACCAATCAACAAGCATTTGACTTGTGTGCCCTTAGAAGCCACCACAGCCGTGCCTACTAATGGCATGGCTGTGATTGGCCAGTGCAGCATGTGACCCAGCCTATATATATATAAGCTGGAGTCACGTAGTGCCGCACGACACATGTTATTAGTGTAGGGAGAGGATGCTGCCTCTTTGAGGGACAGATTAGAAAAGAATTCTGGTGAATCTGCAGACTACAGCGATTATTCAAACTATAGTGATTATTTTAGTGGGTGCTATACTACATTTTTGTACCCTGCCCTGAGCCCAGTGCCACAGACAGTGCAGTGCACTTGCAACTGCATGTGTGCCAGGCACATTACTTTAATCCTTTTCTGGTATCTCAGTGAGCAACATCTAGGCATTTCTAAATACTGCAATTTTTTTGGTGCTAAAGAGTACATTTGCATACTGCATTTTTTGCAGTCTAATAAAACCCTTAAATACTACTGTTACATTGTTGGTTTAAAAAAAGCACACTTTTTTGTGCTAAATAATACATTTGCGGCCTGCGGTGCACTTCATATCTGAGAGTCAAATAGAACCGTCAAATACTGTGGTTACAGCGCAGTTTTAAACATTTTAATTTTTTAGGTGCTAAATAGAATATTTGGACCCTGCACTTCATATCTGAGAGTCAAATAGAACCTTCAAATACTGTGGTTACAGCGCAGTTTGAACAATTCCAATTTTTTGGGTGCAAAATAGTAAAATTTTGGCGTGCACTTCATATCTGAGAGTCAAATAGAACCATCAAATACTGTGGTTACAGCGTAGTTTGAACAATTCCAATTTTTGGGGTGCTAAAAAGTAAATGTGTGGCCTGCACTTCATATCTGAGAGTCAAATAGAACCGTCAAATACTGTGTGTAACGGAGCTCCTTGTACTCCGACTGAGTACCCTCCGTTGACGGATGCTCCTAGCGCTTCCTGAGGACTCCAAGCGCTGCAGCAGACACCACAACCACCGCAGACTCCGCTACCGCCGTATCTTGACTGGAGTCTCGCCGTCTTCCTTCCACCCTGGATCAGCTTCTGTCCTCCAGGACTGTGTGGGAAAGAACTCTTCCTTCCACCCTGTACGAACCTCCTGCATCCAGGACTGTGTGGTGAAGACCCCTCCTCCAAGGAGAGCGTGTCAGGAACAAGCTCTTAAAAGAGCTAAGTGATTAAGCTGCAGAGATTCCCCTTTCAAGAACGAGACAAGGCTACGTTTTGAAGGGTCAAGAAGAACTGTCAAAACCTTTATTCCCTTGGGACCAGCCAATAGGGTCACCACAATAACATTGTTGTGAAACCTCAATAAAATCACAAACAGTCAAACCATATCAAGCAACACACAGTGACTTATCACAACACAATGGCACATGTTTAAAGGGGTGGGGGGGAGACAATATTTAACAGTAAATATCTCACCTGCCTGCAGAATTAGCAATATGCAAATCTACCCGAATATGCAAATGAACCAGTCTTGCAATTCAGGTAGTGCATATTGCTGTTGCTACCAACAGAGGGCACTAGACAAGTTCCATAGCCAAACCCACCTAGTTGGTAGCAAACCTCAGCAATACAAGAGAGCAGGCAATACATTACACAGTACACACACACACACACACACTATAAACAATTACATTACACACACCCTGCACCTATAATGGGTACAGGGTGACTAAACATAAGATAAATAAAGCAGCCTACATAAATAGTCTGTCTGAAGGTAGACTAGGGGCTTTAAAGCCAGATACATGAAAGAGTCATAGTCACAGGGGAGGAGGCTGGCAAGTAGGCCTCTCCAGGACCAAGTGGCAAAGGGCACTTCGTCACACTGTGGTTACAGCACAGTTTGAACAATTCCAATTTTTGTCTCCTGGTTGATAGACAAGATTGGCACCCCGTCTCTTCTCAGCTTGAATTTTAGCACATTTTGATGCCTTCTGTAGTGCTGTATGAACGGAATCCCAAGTGTCACGAAAAGAATCCAAACAAGTGTTCAAGGCAGGAATATCCGTGTCTGAAAATTCAGAAGGGAAAACAGTGGGGTGGTAACCCTGATTTACAAAAAATGGACTACGATTAGAGGATTCATAAGTTGCATTATTTCTGGCAAACTCAGCCATGGGTAAGAGTTCATACAAATTAGACTGATTGGCATTGATAAAACAACGTAAATAAGATTCTAAAGACTGATTGGCCCACTCTGCTGCGCCATTAGTCTAAGGGTGATATGCTGAGGAAAATGAAAGTTCTATACCCAATTGCTTACAAAAGGCACGCCAGAACCTAGAAATAAATTGGGTACCTCTGTCAGATACTATGTTTTTAGGCACTCCATGTAACCGAAAGATCTTTCAAGAATATTTGTACAAGATCTTGAGCAGATGGTCATTTTTTAAGAGGTACAAAATGTGCCATTTTTGAGAATCTATCTATGACCATAAGGATTGTGTTAAATCCATTTGAGCTGGGCAGATCCACCATGAAATCCATGGCTAAATGGGTCCATGGAACATTAGGTATAGGCAGTGGTTGTAACAACCCAGGAGGTGATTTGTGGGACGGTTTAGAAACGGCACATATTTGACATGCCCCTACATAATCTTTGATGTCGTTCCTAAGTGTAGGCCACCAGAACCTCCTGGAGACAGCAGAGAGAGCTTTATGGACTCCAGGATGACCTGCTGTCAGATTATCATGGAATAAACAAAGTACCTTTTTTTTTTTTTTAATGGTGGTGAAACGTACAGTTTATCCAGAGGTCTCTCCACGGGTGCCTGAGTTTGATCTGCTATTATGGCACAGAAGAGTGGAGAAGACACTTCAGAAACTGTAGTAGCAATAAGGCATTCTGGAGGTATGATAGGGAATACCTCTTGTTCAGGAACCTCATCTGTCTCAAACTGCCTAGACAGCGCATCTGCCTTGGTGTTCTTGGTCCCGGGCCTATATGTAATTACAAAATTGAATCGGGAGAGGAACAATGACCATCTAGCCTGACGAGAGGACAATCTCTTAGCGTCCCCAATATAAGCCAAATTCTTATGATCGGTAAAAATCAGAAGTGGCTCTTTGGAACCTTCTAAGAGATGCCTCCATTCTTTAAGGGCAAGTACAATGGCCAATAATTCCCTATTCCCAATGTCATAATTTCTCTCTGCAGGTGTTAGTTTTCGAGAGAAAAACCCACAGGGTTGTAAAGGCGCATCAGGACTTTCTCTTTGAGACAGAATGGCTCCTGTTTCTGACGCATTTACTTCTAGAATAAATTGTTTGGTTGGGTCGGGATGTGTCAGGACAGGTGCTGAGGCAAATAAAGATTTTAATTGCTCAAATGCCTCTTTTGCTTCCTTGGGCCATGAATTGCAATTTGCTCCTTTATTGGTTAGGTTGGTAAAAGGAGTGATTACAGAGGAAAAACCTTTAATGAATTTGTGGTAATAATTTGCAAAATCTATAAAGCGTTGTGTAGCTTTAAGGCCTTTGGGTAATGGCCATTGTAAGACTGCTTCCAACTTGCGTGGGTCCATTTTGAAACCAGACGGAGATATAAAATATCCAAGAAACTGTATCTCGGTCTGGTCAAACTGGCATTTCTCCACCTTACAGTAAAGGCCGTTCTTTAACAGGGTTTTTAGTACTATTCTCACATGTTCGTGATGTGTCTCTAGGTCTGGGGAATAGATGAGAATGTCATTTAGATACACTAAAACGAACATGTGGAGATACTCTATAAGGACATTGTTAATGAAATCCTGAAACACTGCTGGAGCATTGCATAGTCCAAACGGCATAACTAGGTATTCGTAATCTCCCATTCTCGTATTAAACATAGAAACATAGAATGTGACGGCAGATAAGAACCATTCAGCCCATCTAGTCTGCCCAATTTTCTAAATACTTTCATTAGTCCCTAGTCTTATCTTATAGTTAGGATAGCCTTATGCCTATCCCACGCATGCTTAAACTCTCGCCACATTGCATTGGAGAAGCCTGGTTGCTCGCCTGCTGCCTTTGGACTATGGCCCCATGTTAAAAGACATCTTTTTCACTGCAGAAAAGACTTATTCGTGCTTTTCTGCCCGCTGTTCGGTAGATTCTCGAATTTACTGAATGAACTCATATAACCCAGATAGGTATGCCATGGAGCCTATTCATGTAATAAAAGACTTTGGCTCCATGGCAATTGAACTGTATGTGTTTGTGGTCTGAGCGCCATTCAGTATTAATGTGCGCTCAGACCTAAGCTATCTGGGCATATGTTGCATGTCTGTATTTTATGTCATAAATGTAACCTTGTGTATTTTATTGTATTTTACGGTCTTTTTGCTGCCATGTGTTCAATGGAGTTTTGCCTCTGTTTTTGGAGATAATTGGATTACTTCACAATTATCTCCAGGATAGAAGACTCTGTGGAACTGGTTTTGGGCAGAAAAGCCATGCTTCCTGTGGTCACAAAGGACTACGATCTATCTTTTGAACCACTGGATCAATTTGTATGATTTTGACGTATGTTTGTATTTGGAGTATGCTGATTCTGAAAATGTAAGTTTTATGTGAATGTGATGCATACTTTTCAAGTTATGAATAATGTGGAAAAATTGTATTGCTCTGCTTGTGCTAAATTACATTACCCATTGTGTAAGGTAATTAAATCACCGGCAGAGGGGAGGAATTTGTGTGGGAGTGTCTGAGTGTATTGTATGTGTTTATTGGTTGTGTTCCAAAACCCTCTGGGTGGTACTAATGTGTACATAAGCACAATAAACCCACAGCTCTGACTGTTCACTGTTTGACCCTCAACACGGAGCTTTGTCTCGTTCTTGGGGGGATTTATTGTATGCTGTTCCAGTTCGACTGCTATGAGTGTAAACCTATTCGTATGGTTTTTCCTATTCGGCTGTTTACAGCATTCGTATGGTTTCCTGTTCGGCGGATTGGTGTTCGGCAGTAGCTGTGTCTGCATCTCTGGAAGGGGACGTTCGCCTAAACGGTTTTAACCCCTTGTGTGCTGAAACGGTCCGTTACAGCGGTCATCCACTCATGCCCTTCCTTAATTCTGACTAGGTTGTAAGCACTTCTGAGGTCGAACTTAGTGAAGACTCAGGCTCCTTTCAACCTGTCGAATAACTCAGTAATAAGGGGAATGGGATAGGCATTTTTTATTGTTATTCTATTCAAACCCCTATAGTCTATACAAGGGCATAGGTCTCCTTTTTTAGAAAGGAAGAAGAACCCAGCCCCAGCAGGTGAAGAGGATCTACATATGTGACCCTTTCTGAAAGCATCCTTTATGTACTCTTCTAAACAAAGATTTTCTTGGGGAGATCGTGCATATACTCCTCCTTTAGGAGGCATAGTGCCTGGTAACAAATTTATGGCACAGTCGTAGGGTCTATGTGGTGGTAATACCTCTGACTGAACCTTGTTGAATACCTCCTTTAAGTCCAAATACTGCGGTGGGATTTCTGTGGTTAAGGGAGGCGCTATAGGTATATTGATGGTACCAATTCATTGTGGCACCTGTTTAAAACAAACACCTCTGCATCTCTCACCCCAACTCATGATTTCTCCTTCAACCCAATCTAAATGTGGATTATGTTTCTGGAGCCAAGGGAAACCGAGTATTATCGGACATATAGGTGAAGATATAATTCGAAAAAACATTTCTCCAGAATGTAAGATACCAACTGAGGCAGTGGGTTTCATGCGTGATGAGATGCTGGGTAAGAGGTCTCCCATCGATAACCTCTACTGCTACGGGTCTATCTTTCTGCCTTAAGGACAGGAGATATTTAGCAGAGAACTCCTTGTTGTAACGGACCGTTTTGCACACAAGGGGTAAAAACAGTTTAGGCGATCGGCCCCCTTTCCAGAGATACAGGCACAGCTACTGCAGAACACCAAACTCCCGAACTGGATACAAAATAGCACTCCAAATCCCGAACTGGAACCTCCCAAATAGCTGCTAGCAGACGAACAGGAAAAGCAGACAATCAGCTTACACTCCTGGCAATCAGTCTCTAACAGCATACAGTGAATCCCCCCAAGAACAAGACAAGGCACTGTGTTGAGGGTCAAGCAGTGGTCTGTTTAATGAGGGCTACCTGCCCAGTATTTATGCAGGTCTCCCACCTGGTGGACACTCCCCTAGGGGACCAAATGGGAGACTGTGACAAAGGACAGACAAGCAGACAAATAGGACACACAGTCACAGTATTTCCCACAATGCATCCTGGCTTCCTCCCCTCTGCCTTGGGAGATACTTGGGAAGTAATTCAATTATCTCCCAAGACAAAGGCAAAACTCCATTACACATGTGGGGACACAAAACCAGTATTATACTTTAAAATACATAAAGTAACATTTATTACATAAAACACAGACATGTAACATATCCCCAGATAGCTCAGGTCTGAGTGCACATTATTAGGTGAATGGCACTCAGACCACACGAATACAGTTTAATCGCAATGGAGCCAAAGTCTTTACAGTCAGTTTCATACGAATGGGCTCCATGGGATTCCTATCTGGGGTATAACATATTCGAACAAAACTACCGAACACCGGGCCGTTCGTG